AAATCGCAGTGTATAATTTTTTTAAGTTTTACTCAACCGATTACTTAAATAATTCAGAAGATATTTTACTCAAAAAGCAAAAAAATTTGTAATCATGTATTTTTGTATTTTGTACTTTTTTTAGTACCATGTTATTCTAAATGCCCTTGACGTCTAACAAATTATAATAATAATAATTATTATTATTAAGAATCATTACTTTTCGCAGCAAAGAAGTGTTTTATTTTTGAAATTCGATAAGAAAAAAATTAACAAAACGCACAAATTTTCGTGATTCGATAAAAATTAATAATATTTTCTCTAGTTTTTTCTAAAAATTCGGATAATAAAAAAAGTACAGCGTGACTCAAAAAAACGGTGGTTTGTTAAACCATAAAATTATTCAAAATTTTATTTTTTATTAAATAAATTTGGTAACAACGTATCAAAAATTTCTTGGTTTCTATAGTAACAAACGTTTCAAATTATTATGCGCAGACACAAACTGGTTCAAAATGTATTGCAACGTTGCCAATTTGTGCTACCTTTAAACATTCATATTTCCAAAACCATTCGACCTAGAAAAATTACAAAAGCAAATCTGAGCTCTTATTAACGTTTTCTGTCACTATATAAAAGACTGTCTGACTTTTTTAATTTTTTTTTTCTAAAAAAATCTAAATATTTTCAATTCTTTAATTGATGTAGCCTAAAAGAAAATGAATTCACGTCAAACACACTAAAACAATTGTTGTAATTCATGCTCCACAAAAACATACCTAAAAAATATTAGACATCAATTATTTCTTTTATTAAAGTCATGCAATGAGAGCATTCAGCTTATAGATTAAATTGTTTAAAAAATGACTAACAATGCTCAAGGCTCACTTGCTACAACTCTCTAGAAGAATTGTTATCTATTACATAGAAAGCACTATTTTGGTAACACTGATCTTCACGTCTCCTGTTATTGTGCACAATAATAAAAAAAAAGAGAGAGAGAGAGAGAGAAAGAGAACAACAACGTGATCGGTGCTATATTAAAACACATAATAATAATAATAATAAATTGAAGTGAGCTGAGAGCTTCGTACCTGAGGTCTCACCTGAGTCAGCGCTTCCATGCGCTGCTTCAGTTGTTCCTCCATTTCAGGCAATTTCGAAAACTGAGCAAGTTTTTGTTCAGCCAATTCCAATTTCTCTTGAATTGCTGCGATCTTCTCTTCTTGCAACTGCAAAACACAATTATTATTAGAAATCGTATCTGTGATGGAAGGTCAATGTCTAATTATCACAAGGCGACAAAAAAAAGTCATGTCGTGACAACTTGACAAATTTTATATCATTTTGTTCGTCTCAGTGAGACAAATCAAATGCACTAAAAAAAAATTCAAAAAGTCCACACATTTTGAACTAATTAATTTTTTTCTAATTTAAATGAATTTAAAATACTTTAACTTTAAAAAATCATTACTCAATAACTATTAGGCCGATTTCCTTCAAATAAAGACCATTCTAAAGGGATGGAATTGCCCTTTAGAATGATACGCAATTTGAAATTGAATATTGGTAAACTTTTTTTCGAACATTGTTCGAAGAAGTTCGAAGTAAATCGAAGTAATCTAAGAAAAACCCTACGAGTAAATTTTGTTTTTCATCATTACCATCGTGTAGAGCATCAAAAACTTCAAAATTAATACTTCTCTTAGAATCCCTAAATAAAATTATAAAATAGTTGCTAGTACAAAAACTATTTTCGAAAAAAATAACAAAATTGTTTTTTTTTTCGAAAAAAAAATTGTCAAATTTGGTCATAAATCATACTATTTTTTGAACTTTTTAGCTTTTTTTGAGATAGATCACGAAATTAAATCAAAAATGCATTTTTTTTGGAAAATTTTCTCCAAACCAGTCGAAAAATCAATGCTTTTTTAAAGCACATTTTTGAGCTAATAAACTGAGTTTTTTGTTTTACTTGTAGGGTTTCCTTAGATTATTTCGATTTTCTTCGAAAACTGTTCAAAGAAAAGTTTGCCAATATTCAATTACAAATTTCATATCATTCTAAAGGGCAAGTCCATCCCTTTAGAATGGACTTCATTTGAAGAAAATCGGCCTAATAGTTATTGAGTAATGATTTTTTAAAGTTAAAGTATTTTAAACTCATTTAAATTAGAAAAAAATTATTTAGTTCAAAAAAAAAAAAAAAATTTTTTTAGTGATCTAAAATTTGTCAAGTTGTCACGACATGGCTTATTTTTGTCGCCTTGTGTAATCGGATTCGCTAATCAAGATGTGAAATAGCTGAGTACAAGTCGGATACAAACCATCCACATCCAGAAGCTTTACGAGGACACCGGTAGTTTTTTTTTGTACTAGCTAATCAGCAAATTAACAGTGTCTACAAGCTCAACAGATGGCAGCACCGAGTGCAGGCACGCATGGGATAATACTGACTGTCGCTGCCACATTCAACAATATACTCGCTGGTAATCCAACAGATAAACAACAACTTCAATGTACAATTAATAATACTATAAGTTATTTACGATACAGATTAGTTCATTAAAGCTCTTATGTCATTTTCATACACAAGTCTGATTTTTTTCTTTTGTACAGCGAATATCGACGACGAGAGGGGAGAGGTAGCACGGGCTGCATATGACTGCGAGCAGCGGAACACTACATGGTCTGTTTTTTTTTTTTTTTTAATGGAGGTCGGGGCCATATCAGGACCGGACTAGGTCATCCACCACTCGTCGCTCTGTCGCCACGCGGATGAGATTTGTGAATTCTACTTCTAAGGTTTGCCTTGCCTGGAAAAACACAAAAAAATTATTCGTAAAATTAAAAATTGTAAAATATTCAAGGAGGTATATCTCCGAAACCGCTGCTTTGCGGACCCATGTTTAATAAGAATTTTTTGTTTGTTTTGGTCCATACTATTACCACCTGAAATATTTTACAATCTTTTTTTGACACCCTGTATAATTTTTAAAAATTCTAATTCTATCTGTACATCAAAAATGTGATGTTTTTCAAGATTTTCTTTCTATTTCAGTGTCACAACTGAAAACAGTTGTATAAAATGCAATTTTGTGAAAAAATAGTATAAAGAACGCGTGATACAACCTCTTATTGTATTTGAAACACAATGAGAGTGTTTGCAACACTTGTTTTTTAATATACTATTCTTGTTTTTTTTTTTGTTTTTGAGATCTGTAAAAATGTTTATTTTTTTCATATGGCAACATTAGAAATCGAAAATTTTTTTAAATAAGTAAAAAAAAATTCGTATAAATTCTTAAACAAAACAAAATTTCATTTTCAAAACACATCACATTTTTATAGCACTTTAATTTTTTAAAATTATGATTTAAAAAAAGTTTCGTTTCTTACTTTTTATATTTTATATTTTTCAATTTTTTTAAATTAAATGTAAATTGTTTGTAGAAATTCAAACATTGCAAATAAATAAAACGGGTGATATAATTACAATAAAAAATTACTTATCCAGATTTAGAGATTTTTTTACTGTTTTTTTTTTGGGTATTTTGAAACTATAAGTTGGGTTTTTATAAGTTTATAATTATTTTTTTGTTTTAATTTAAAATTGGTTAAAACAGGCCAAACTTACATCAATTTCGACGTAATTCGAAGGTTTTTTGATTTATTTTGACAAAATTTCAAGAAATAAAAAAGTTTGTAAAACCAAAATCGTTTGAAAAAGCGAAAATAACGCCAATTTGAGCATAATTCGATGTCAAAATCTTAAAAAAAAATGAAATGACTCAAAAACAATGTAAATCTATTGAAAAAAAATCAAAATAAAGTTCGGTAATTTTTGTCAAAACCTTTCAAAATAAACATGTTTCTGGTCCAATTTCATAAAAATCGTGGAAAACAGGTCAGAATAATGCCGATTTTAGGTGTTTTTTTTCAGTTTCTTAAATAAAATTAAAAAAAAATACTTAAAAAAGGAGTAAAGTTGATTGGACAAGACCAAATAACGTCACATTCACCTAATTCTGTGGTAATTTGACTTATTTTGATAAAATCTCCCGAAATAAGACAGAAACACACGAAAATAACGTCAATTAAGATCTAATTTGGTAATTTTTTGGCTAGTTTTGTAAAGTTTTGGAAAATAAGTAAATCCCTGACTCAAAAACAGCTTACTGTTTTTTGAGTATTCTAAAACTGGAACGATGGTAGCTTTTTTTGATTTAAAAATAAGCTAAATTGCTTAAAACAAACTAAAGGTATATCAATTTCGATATAATTTAATAAAATTTCAGAAAATAAAAAAGTTTATTAATGCAAAATCGCTTGAAAAAAGTCAAAATAAGCCCAATTTGAGTATAATTCGGTAATTTTTGACTTGTTACGACAAAATATTCAAAAATAAGAAGATAAAAAGAAAACAAATTAAATGTTTTGAAAAAAAAAAGTCTATCGTAATCTTGCAAAATAAATATGTTTTTGGCTCAGTATCGTACAAAATCGTTGAAAACAGGCCAGTGTTTTTTTCAACTTTTTTAAGTAAAATTTCGAAAAATAAAAAAGTAAAGTAAATTAAAAAGTACCAAATAACGTCATTTTCAACTTAATTCGGTCATAATTTACCTTGAGAAAATCTCTCAAAACGCATAAAAATAAAGTCAATTTAAACTGAATTTGATTTTTTTTTGGGTAGTTTTGGCAAAATTTTGACTCAAAAATCAACTGAATTGCTTGAAAAAAAATAAAAACGAAATTTTTGACCTAATCAGTAATTTTTTTTAGTCAGTTTTAGAGAAACCTCGCAAAAATAGAAGGACTTTTGACCTAAAAACAATCTAAATTTTCAAAAAAAATTAAATTTTGACCTAAATAACATAATTTATTATTATTAATTCGGTAATAATTTGACTTATTTATCTCGCGAAATAAACAGAAACATACGAAAATAACGTCAATTTAGGTTTAATTTGGTATTTTTTTGGCTAGTTTTGATAAAATTTTGGAAAATAAGCAAGTCCTTGGCTATTTTTTGAGTTTTTTGTAATTTTAACGATTTTAAATTAGCTAAATCGTTTAAAACAAGCCAAAGTTGTAATTCGAAAATTTTTGGACTTATTTTGAAAAAATTTCAGGAAATAAAAAAAATTATAAAGCAAAATCGCTTGAATTTGAGCATAATTCAGTGATTTTCCGGTTTCTTATGATAAAATATTCAAAAGTAAAAAATGCTCCAAAAACGAGTTAAATGGACTGAAAAAAAATCAGTACAAAGTCAATTTTAATCTTATTGGGTGATTTCAGCCAAAATCTTGCAAAATAAATATGTTTCTTGCTCAATATCGTACAAAATCGTTGAAAACAGGCCGGAAGAATGTCAATTTTAGGTGTTTTTTTTCAGCTTTTTAAATAAAATCTCGCAAAATAAAAAAAAATTGTTAAAAAACGAGGAAAGTTGATTGAAAAAAACTAAATAACGTCATATTCACCTAATCTTGTGGTAATTTGACTTATTTTGACAAAATCTTGCAAAATAAGACAGAAACACACAAAAATAAAAATAATTTAATTATAAAAATAATCTAATCTTGTAATTTTTTGACTAGCTTTGATAAAGTTTTGGAAAATAAGTAAATTTCTTGCTCAAAAACAAGTTTTTTACTGTTTTTTGAGTATTGTTCTTTAAAAATGAGATAAATCGTTTAGAACAAAATTACATCAATTTCGATATAATCCGAAAATTTTTGAACTTATTTTGACAAAATTTCAAGAAATAAAAAAGTTTATAAAAGCAAAATCGCTTGAAAAAAGACCATTTGAGCATAATTCGGTGATTTTCCGGTTTGGTGCGACAAAATATTTAAAAATAAAAAAAATGCCTCAAAAACGAGTTAAGAAAAAAATCAAAAAAAGGCAATTTTAATCTTATTCAGTGATTTCAGCCAAAATCGTGCGAAATAAATGTTTCAGACACGTGAAAACAAGCCAAAATAATGTAAATTTTCGATGTTTTCCCAGCTTTTTAGTTCAAAAAGTTCATTAAAAAATCATTTTTAACTTATTTCGGTGACAATTCTTTGACTAATTTTGAGAAAATCTCTCAAAACGCACGAAAATAGCATCAATTTAGTTATTTTTGACAAAATTTTGGCTCAAAAATGAGCAAATTGCTTGAAAAAAAAAAAAAAAAACGAATTGACGAAATCTCTCAAAATTAGGGTGAAAAATAAGCTCAATTATTTGAAAGAAATTAAAAAAAACCTAATTTTTGATCTAATTAAATTATTTTTTATAAGAAATAGTAGAAAAAAATTCACAAACTTAATTTTTTTCTTGTTTTGACTTTTAATTATTAAAAAAAATACTTACTTGTGTATTTTGAGTCGGAATTTGCAACGTGAGAGCCATACTGTTCGCATCAAAACTCTCATCCAATGCAATTAAAGCACCATGGACTCCTGATTCTAATAAATTGTTTGCATATTCCTATAAAAAAAAAACATAAAAAAAACTCAATTAATACAAAAAAAAAATAATAATAACCTTTAATCCAATATTCGACACCCATCTAATAATACGTTCATTGCTCCAAACCAAAACATCCTGTAACGCATTTTCAGAATTTTTCCTCCTCTCTTCCAACAAATTTCGATCATAATTCAACCTCTTCAAACATGATATGCCATACTGTAGACTAGTCCTACAAAAAAAAAAAAAAATTAATAAATTTCACCCCGAGTCACACACACAATTAAACCTGTGAAAACTATCGACCATTTTGAGTTGCCCCCTTAGATCCTTCTTGGTGAGATGGTCCAACATCCTCGCATCGACCAAACACTCCATAAAGGTGGTCCGATATTGGGGCAGCCCCAATGCCGGCAGCCACGAATTCCCAATCCATTCGTGGTTCATATCCCCGAAGGCTAATGTCGTGCGCGAGGTCTTTGGGGCCGAGGGCGACGTCAACGACACCATCTCCTGGATGGCCAGTCTTAATTTCAACCGATGCAACGGATTACTTATTCCTATTTCTCTTTGGATTTCGGTGTCGCTGAGGGCGCTCATGATAGCCCCCGATTTCACGTTCGCTCGACATGCTGCCACATACCATGCCGGCATTCCCACCCATAATTCCAACCATGCGACGATTGTAGGGCCGTTCCATAAGGCAAATGGGGTTCCTGCTTTCATGGCTTCGGCGAGAAGTTCGTGTCTGTAATCACGCTCCCTTATAGAGGATTTCGAATAAATTAGTATAACACACACCTCTAGAAATTACAAGTACATGAAATATTTTATATTGCAGTTTTTGTTCAGTTTTTTTCATGAGGTGGTGTCTATTTTAGTTGTTATTGAAAGTTTAGTAAAGCGGTGACCGAATTTAATGAATAAAGCAGAAAGCTTGTGTTTTATACTGCAATATAGCATATTATGCATGTGAAAATCAATAAAATAATTATTATATGTGATTTGTTTTCTATTATAATTTTATTCTTACTTAATGTAAAGGATATTACCGTTAAATAAAGTTATTATTATAAATTGGGCATATTATTATTATTATTACCTTGTATAATGTTTTTGATACGAATAACTCATATGGAGGGGCAATGTGTGATTATTTGCCATATGATTTAATTTTTATAGAAAAAAGCTGTTTATTCAAACACATTATTAATAAAAATTGAATAAAATGTAGACAGTTGTAACTATTAAAAAATTATAAAAATCAATAAAACCTGTGATAATACAATTGAAATAAAAAATTACTTTTTTAAATTTTCGAATTTTTTACTGTTTATTAGACACTTTAAAACTATAAAATGGGCTTTCATTATGAGAGTTTATTTGTTTTTAATTTAAAATTTGTTTACAAAAGACCAGAACAACATCAATTTCGATATAATCCGAAAGTTTTTTTCATCTATTTCGATCAAATTTCAAGAAATAAAAAAGCTTGAAGGACCAAAATAACGCCAATTTGCGCATAACTTAATGGCAAAATTGAAAAAAATCAAAATAAAGTTAATTTTAATCTTATTCCGTAATTTTTGTCTAAACCTTTCAAAATAAACATGTTTTTGGCTCAATTTCGAGTCAGAATAATGTAAATTTTCAGTGTTTTTTTTCAGCTTTTTTAATTAAAATTTCGCAAAATAAAAAAGTACAGTTAATTGAAAAGAACCAAATAACGTCATTTTCAACATAATTCTTTGACATGTGTTGAGAAAATCTCTCGAAACGCACAAAAATAAGCTCAATTTAAACGAAATTTGATAATTTTTTGAAACGTTTTGACAAAATTTTGACTCAAAAATCAATTGAGTTGCTTGAAAAAAATAAAAATAACGAAACTTTTGAATTCTGCGGTAATTTGACTTATTTTGATAAAATATCGCAAAATAAGACAGAAACAGACGAAAATAACATCAATTTAGATCCAATTTTGTTTATTTTTACTAGTTTTGATAAAATTTTAAAAAATAATTAAGTCCCTGGCCCAAAAATAGGTTTTTTAACTGTTTTTCGAGTATTTTGTAACTGTAATTATCGAAGCTTTTTTTTTAATTTAAAAATAAGCTAAATCGTTTAATGCAAGCTAAAGTTACATCCATTTCAATATGATTCGAAAATTTTTGGACTTATTTTGCAAAATTTCAGACAGTAAAAAAGTTTATAAAAGCAAAATCGTTTGAAGAAAGCCAAAATAAAGTAAGTAAAATTCTCAAAATAAAAAATTAATTTAAAAGAACCGAATAACGTCATTTTCAACATAACTCTTTGATTTATGTTGAGAAAATCTCTCGAAACGCACAAAAATTAAATCAATTTAAACTAAATTTGATAATTTTTTGGGTTTTACAAAATTTTGTCTCTAAAATCAACTAAATTGCTTTCATGGCTTCGGCGAGGAGTTCATGTCTGTAATCACGCTCCCTTACAGAGGATTTTAACCAAATTAGTATAACACACACCTCTAGAAATTTTGTGGTACATGCAGGAAGTACATGAAATATTTTATATTGCAGTTTTTACGCCGTTTTTTCATGAGATGTTGTCTATTTTATTTGTTATTGAAAGTTTAGTAAAGCGGTGACCGAATTTAATGAATAAAGCAGAAAGCTTGTGTTTTATACTGCAATATAGCATATTATGCATGTGAAAATCAATAAAATAATTATTATATGTGATTTGTTTTCTATTATAATTTTATTCTTACTTAATGTAAAGGATATTACCGTTAAATAAAGTTATTATTATAAATTGGGCATATTATTATTATTATTACCTTGTATAATGTTTTTGATACGAATAACTCATATGGAGGGGCAATGTGTGATTATTTGCCATATGATTTAATTTTTATAGAAAAAAGCTGTTTATTCAAACACATTATTAATAAAAATTGAATAAAATGTAGACAGTTGTAACTATTAAAAAATTATAAAAATCAATAAAACCTGCGATAATATAATTGAAAAATAAAAATTACTTTTTTAAATTTTTATTTTTTTAGTATTTATTGGACATTTTAAAACTATAAAATGAGGTTTCSTTATAAGAGTTTATTTGTTTTTAATTTAAAATTGTTTAGAACAGACCAAAACAACATCAATTTCGATATAATTCGAAGGTTTTTTCACTTATTTTGACCAAATTTCAAGAAATAAAAAAGCTTGTYGGACTAAAAATGCTCGAAAAAGCCAAAAAACGCCAAATTGAGCATAATTTGATGGCAAAAWCTTAGAAAATAAATGAAATGAATCAAAAACAATGTAAATCTATTGAAAAAAAATCCAAATAAAGTTCGGTAATTTTTGTCAAAACTTTTCAAAAAAAACATGTTGTTGGCTCAATTTCGGGTCAGAATAATGTAAATTTTCAGTGTTTTTTTCAGCTTTTTTTAATTAAAATTTGAATGAATAAAGCAGAAAGCTTGTGTTTTATACTGCAATATAGCATATAACGCATGTGAAAGTCAATAAAATTATTATAAAATACCAAAATATCTGTCAAAATATGAATGAAAATTTCATTTTTATCATTTTGATTATTATTATTATCATTATGATTTATTCAAAGACAATGCTTGTAACAAAAAAAATGTCAGTTAAAGAGACTTCATAAAGTGAAAAAAATGTTTTGTTTTTGAGTTTTGCAATTTTTTCAAATTAAATGAAATTTTTATCGATAAAAATTGAATAAAATGTAGATAGTTGTAACCCTTAAATAACAACAGCCTTTGTAAAAAAATTATAAAAATCAATAAAACCTGTGATAATATTTTTGAAATAAAAAAATACTTTTCTTAAATTGTTACATTTTTTTACTGTTTTTTAGGCACCTTAAAACTATAAATTGGGCTTTCACATTAAGAAGTTTATTTGTTTCAAATTTAAAACTGTTTAAAATAGGCGAAAATTATATCAATTTCGACGTAATTCGAAGGTTTTTTGACTAATTTTGACTAAATTTCAAGAAATAAAAAAAAATTGTGAGACCAAAATCGTTTGAAAAAAACTGAATAACGCCAATTTGAGCATAATTCGATGACGCAATCTTAGAAAATAAAAAAATCCAAATAAAGTTTTATGTGGAAAACAGGACAAAGTATTGTCAATTTTGGGTGTTATTTCAGTTTTTTTTTAAATAAAATCGCAAAATAAAAAAAATTAGTTAAAAAACGAGCAAAGTTGATTGAGAAAGACTAAATAACGTCATATTCACCTAATTCTGTGGTAATTTGACTTATTTTCACAAAAATCTCGCAAAATAATACAGGAACACACAATAATAATGTGACTTTACATGTAATTTTTGGTAATTTTTTGGTAATTTTTTGGAATTTTGGAAAATCGGTAAATCCCTTGTTCAAAAACAGGTTTCTTACTGTTTTTTGAGTATTTCGTAACTGTAATTATGGAAGCTTTTTTGATTTAAAAATAAGCTAAGTTGTTTAAAACAAGCTAAAGTTACATCAATTTCGAAAAAATTCGAAGATATTTGGACTTATTTTGAGAAAATTTTAGAAAATAAAAAAATTATAAGAGCAAAATCACTTGAAGAAAGCCAATTTGAGCATAATTCGACAATTTATGCAATTTAAATTATATTTAAGCCCAAAAATTTACTTATTTCATTAATTTTTCTCAAAAAAAAAAAACACTATTTTTGACCGTGTCGAGTAATTTAGAGAGTTTTAATTTTAATGCAGAAGTTTGCTTACTTTGCAATTTTTCATTAAAACATAGCGGAGAATTTACAAATTAGGCTGTTTTTACCGAATTAAGTCAAAAAAAATTTATTTCGTAAGAATTTCTATAAAACATTACAAAAAAATTAAAAAATTACGTCAAAGAGAGATATTTTAACTTTTTTTTATGGATTTTGCTAGTTTTTGAGTAAGAAATCGTTAAAAACAATCCAAAAATCGCTGAATTATTACAAAAATTACGTTATTTTAGCTTTTTTCGAGACATTTAGATAGTTTTTGAGACAAAAATTCTAATATTATATGTTTTTTTTTAAAGTGGACAAAAATTACCTTTTTCTATGAATTTCGCTCATTTTTGAGTATGAAACTCTTTCTTTTATTTTGAAAATTTAGTCAAAACAAGCCAAAAATCTACGTTATTTTAGCTTATTTTTTTAGCAAATTTTATTGTTTTATTAAAACAAGCCAGAAAAGTTACACATTAGGTTGTTTTTTTGTGTTTCATACGCGATTTTACTAAAAATCATATTTTAATTTTTTTTTGAACTTGTGATTTTTATAAAATTAAAAAAAAACTACCAAAATCCACTTAAAACTACCTAAAATCGCTAAAATGCTAAAAGAACTCACATTTCAGATTTTTTTGTAAACAATTTTTTTGATTGTAGGAAAAAAAACAAAATTATTTTTTCTCTCAAAACACCTCTTTTTTTTAATTGGTTGCATTATTTTTTGTTTAATTACCTTTTTTAGCAATGAACAATTATTATCAATACGATTTTTTTTTCTACAACAACTCGTTTAACAGCTTTTAAGTTAAAGTAGTTAGTTAGAAAAAAATGGATGATAAAGTAGTTAAGCTTTGTGAAATACTTGCGAATGTTAAAAAAATGTTAAAAAAATCATACACCCACTTCTTCTTCTGTCTTCGATCAAAGTCTCCCTTCTGTCCCAGTTTCCCAGAGACGCTCATCGAATCACTTAAATCACCATCGGGCATCCCAATGCTGGTTTGACTAAGATTCAAAGAACTCTCACTTCCAACTTCTTTTCCTTTCACCTGTTGCACCCCAAAAAAACCACCAAATTAAAATCGTCTTTCTACAGGGTGTGTCAGAACTTGCGCCCCAGAGAAAAATTCAAGTAAGATAAGATAGCAAAAACTAATTGAGAATTTTGAAAATTAATTTGGAAAAAAATGTGTTTTTGTTTGAATTTCCTTTTTTCATGAATCATTGATCACAAAAATCTACATTTTTTGCTAAATTTTGAAAACCAATTGAGAATTTAAACATTAAGAGAAGAAAATAATTAAGAATAATGTTTTCTTTTTAAATAAATGTGGAGGTTTTGCTTTGATTTTTTCGTGATTTTGGTCACTTTTTTTGATTTATTAAAAAACTGTTGTAAAAAAACCTGAATTTTTCAAGAGTGTGTTATTATGTAATAAATTGCAAAGTTTTACTATAAGTATTTTTTACCCTTCTTCTTTTTCATTATAATTTTCTCTTAAATCTTCTTGTTTCGGATTTTTACTCCCAATTCTGAATTTTGAAAATTAGTTCAGAGAAAAAAAAAAGAGATAAAAAGACCTAAATTTATAAAAAATGTGTTTTCATTTAACTAATTTGAAGAGTTTTTCCTACGTTTTTTTGTTAAACTTTTAAAACTAATTGAAAATTTTGAAAATTAATTGAGAGACCTAAATTGAAAAAAGAAGTCTGTCTGAATGAATTGGAGCCTTAAAAAATTTCTTTTTTCAAGAAATATGATTTTTTGAATTTTTTGATCACAAAAATCTACTTTTTTTGCTAAATTTTGAAAACCAGTTGAGAATTTTGAAAATTAAGAGAGGAAAATAATTAAGAATAATGTTTTTTTTTTAATAAATTGG